AATACACGTAGCCCAATTTTCAAGTACCAATCAGGTGGACCCGATTTCATTGTACTTTACTCGAACAATGTTAGGGGTGATATATATTTTTTAACTCATGCGACTAAACTTAGAATGCAACTCTAAGGTGCCTACATATATCGGTGAATAGGATCAAGTCATCTCGTAGTTTAGAGTGGGTGAATTTTTTTCAAATTTTGACTAGGCCGCCTCTTTCGAAGTTTTCAATCTAACAGGAATTTTCTTGGTTCTAAATTTTGCCTAAGCCGTCTTTTTCAAGGTTTTCAATCTAGCGGATATTTTTTGGTCCTAACTTTTACCTAGACCGGCCCTTTTAAGGTTTTTAATCTAGCAAATATTTTTTTTGAGCCGCACACAATTTATACTCTTACGGACCAGGAGTAACATTTAGTATATGCTCGTGCATCAAGGAGCGCAGCGACTTATGCGCTCATATTTTGAGGAGTTTTGTAACTTGAAGACTTTACTCTGATTTGAAGAGCTTCATGACATGGAGTTTATGCTCGCGTGTCGAGGAGCCTATTTTTTCAAGGATAATTGTTGATAGGACTGACTCTCATGCCATCTGCATCAAGAATATTCTTTTGTGAGCCTAAGTTGTGTCCAAATTTTAATTATAAGGTAATCCTTTATTTAGTGCAACTGTGCAAGATGAATTAGTAAAATGTGATCTTTGTGTTGAAGGTATAAATCTTTCTTTGAGTTGTTCTAACATTGATCTTGAGCATATATGTGACACTACTTTAGAAGGTGAAGCTAATGGTTTGGACACCCTTCAAAGATTTTATTTTGGAAGATACTTTTGTGATAACATTGCTTGCACTTGATGATAATTGTGGATGAAGATTGGTGGGTACAACCCAAAAGAAGAGAATTATTTGGTTTGTAATGAAAATGTTCTTTATTTGAGTTTAAATGAATTAACTCCTTCTTTGTTTGATGTGATGGACTCCAATGAAGAGCCATTTTATATGCATGAAAATAAGAGTCCTAATGCTATTCTCAAGGAATACGTGATTTTAGATGACAAGGGAAGTAAACCAATTGATGCTAATTTTAGTATTAGTTTCTATACGTACTCTATTCTTAGATTTTTGAGGATGCATTTTGGTTAAGTTTTATTAACGCTTATAAGAAGAAATGTAAGAATAATCATTTGAAAGAATAGAATAAGTTATTTGAGCTTAAATATACAAATCTTCTTTTGATGACTTTACTAATTTCCTTGAATTACGTGTGAAGGTTCATCACAAAAGAAACGTTAAGGAAGAAAAGTGCTTGGAATCACCGTCTTGGACTATAGGGGTTAGATGTGTCATTGCTATTTAAAGTCAAGAACATTATATTGATTTGGTAGTGCTTATTTTTGGGCTTTCAAAAGCCATGAAGGTAACTTGCTATGCCTTTGACTTTTGTAGTAGCAACTATGTGTTGATGGACAATAACTCTTTGATGTTGCTATTTGATTCATGTTGTGAGTTGGTATATGTAGTTAAGAAAGTTTTGAGAATGATATTCGTGTTTGATTCCGAAGATAACTACTTCTGCATAGGAATTATGGATAACCTTGGTAGATCTCTTGACCTTACTCTTAAGAGAATATATACCAAGTGTGATTTGAGGTATTACTCAATTGGAGTTGAAGAAGCTAAGTATAATATCCAAGTTTTATTTTTTAGTTTTGCTAGTTTCTTTGACTTATTTTATATTTGTGATCTCCTTTTGAGTCAAGTTTTTGATGCTTTATTTGTAAAGTGGACATTTGTTGTTTTGCGGGATGCTTGACTTTATCATCAAAGTGTTCAATTTGATACATGTTGTAAAGATATTTGGACTAAATGGATGCTTGGTGAATATCTTGTAGTTTTTTTGACATCCTCAATTTGTATTCTTGATTTGAAATAAGGGTTGAACTGCTTTGTTGATAATATCAATTTGGGCATGATGGTTTTAATTCTTAGGCATTTTGGTATTTTTGAATTCTCTTGTGTCTATTATCTTCTTTTATGCCAAGCAAGTAGTAAGATGCTTAAAAGAATAATTCTTAGTGGATATTATGATTCTTGGATTTATCATGATTGTATTTATTTTGGGAAGAATATTAGAAACCTTTGTGCTAAGAATATTAAAAGTAACATGGTTGGATTATCGCTTTGCTTCTTTGTGCTAAGAACCTTAAGCTTGATTACTATAATCTTTGGCATGAAGTAACTTCAAAAGATAACAGAGTTGGTAGGACTAAATATGGTTTATACAAGTGGCATGCTTATATATTTGGTCTATCTAAATTATTTTACTTGTTTAACAGTCTTATGAGAGTTATATTGGTGCATACTTGAGAAACTATACGACAGAGTCTATGTGATGATGCTATATATTATCTTTAAGAGGAGACTCTATGTTTTCTAGGAAGACTTAGGTTAAAAGAATGCATGGACATTTTCTCGTCTCATTTTCGCTATGTATATCTTTGATTTTGATGGTTTTATATTGGTTCTTATTTTCGTCTTTATTTTGCAAGGTCTAAATACGTGAACGAATTTTTTTGAAGAAGGGGAGGATAATTACTTTCAAGATAAAAGAATTACAAATTCGAGGACGAATTCTTTTGTAGAAGGAATCACTCCCAAGATAGACATCTTGAATTTGTTAGCTTGCTAACAATCTTCAAGAGCTTACGGAGCCTTAAGAGAACAATTCAAGAGGACTTGAAGCTCTATAATATGTTAAAGTAGATGTATAAAAAGAAGGGACCAAAGTCAACATCTAGGAGCCCAATTGAATTCAATGGAGGACCAAGTACAAGGACATGTCAAGAAGGCCCTACTAGAGAGGGTATTTTAGTATTTTTTTTGGAGCATAAAACTTTAGCATGTATAGTTCTTATGTGTTTTGGTACAATGGTGAGATATCTCATGAGATTAGTTATCTCACCTTATATATGAGATAACTAATTCCACTATTTTTGTGTAAAAGTTATTCCGGGATTAACTAATACCCCAAATAAACATGTGAAAAAGTTAATCTCAGATTTTATCCCGAGATTATTATCCTTATCTTATGTACCAAACGACTCCTTACCGTTAGAGTTAGACTTAGGATGAATGTTGTGATTACTTTTGAGAGTGTGGGTGAACTTTTGATTGCCTTGCTTACTTTGTCCTTGTATTTGCAAGAGGGAGCTTTACTCTTGATGATTCAAATAGTCTAGGTGCTTGTTCTTGAGCCCTAATAAAAGGTAATTAGAAGGGTGTTTGGCTAAGCTCATAAGCTGGTCAAATTGGCTTATAAGTACTTTTTGGCTTATCTACGCGTTTGGTAAAATTAAAAGTGTTTATAAGTTAAGTGCTTATAAGTCAAAAATAAGCCAAAAGCCATAAGTTGGTCTCCCCCAACTTATCAAATTTCAGTTTATAAGCACTTTAGGTTTGACCAAAATACTTACTATTCTATCCCTAAAATATTTCTTTTTAAAACAAAACTCTTCCGTATTCTTCAAAACCTATAAACAACCGTTGCCTTCTCCAGTCGTGCATCTGCAACAGTAGAGGGGTTGATTCCTCTGATACGTGGAATTCCCTTCTTTTGTTCTTCTCTGCTCATGGGTTGTCCATTGATTGACTCTGATTCTCGCGCTCTCATTGTTGAAGGAAAGCTCTCTAAATATCTTCAGCCGTGCCTCTGCAACTATTATAAATATCTTGTGGCAACAAACTTGTCTTCTTAAGGCTCCTTTGTTTCAACACTTGTCTTCTATCTCTTTTATTGCTTTCCTATTTCAATTTCTTGTTATTGAATTTGGTTGTTATCATCTCTTCTCTTCAATCACTAACTACACCAACATTACTTTCGGATGTCCATTGTGTAAAAATTTGGTGGTCAGCTCCGTTTTAAATTCTAAAAATTGGAGAATAAGATAGTAAAAGATGGTGGAACTAAGAGAGCATCTAAATAGGAAAAAAAATAGGCGTTCAAAGAAAAGAAAGTGTTGGACATTCTTATAGCCATTTGAGCATTATTTTGTCCATTCATACACTTAAACTCAAGTGAGTTTCACACTTTATGCCATGTCAGTTTTTATAGGTAAATTTTGAAGATTAGTCCAATAGGTCACCCTTTTAATCGAGATATCTAAATAAAAAATTGTGGCAAATTTCAGAAACTATCTAATGTATTTGAAGTTAATAATTTCATGTTTCTTCGGGATATACTCTTTTATAGGCTAGCACTCGTGTGTATCCATCAAGAAACAAATCCAGCACCTTAGTAGGCCACTACACAACTTTGTGTTCTGCGCTGGTAATAGCTTGGACGTAGGGCCGTTCGTCAACAAAACCAACTAATCAATTAGTAAATATTTATTTATATTGATATTTATATTAAATAAATTAATTAAAAAAACTTAAATAAAATTAATATTATTTAACATGATTAGAAATAGATATCCGTATGAAATAAAACATATATTATATTTATAGATTATGAACACCGCAATAAATTTATACCTTCCGTTTTAATTTGTTTGAACCTATTTGACTGGACGCAAAATTAAAAAAAAAAAAGATTTTTGAAACTTGTAATCTAAAATAATTCATAAAATTTGTGTGACTATAAATCATCCCATTAAAAATAAAATAATAAATTTAAAATTACATTCTTGTTAAATTTAGAAAGAAATTATTCATTTTAAAATTAACTTAAAAAGGAAACAGGTTCATTGTTTTTGAACAAAGAAGTAGTATTTTCGAACGGCCCCTCTCTTCTCGTTATGCCTCTTTCTTTCTCCAACGGAAATAAAACTAACGCCAACTTCCCTTTCATTTCCTTCATCACTCCACGTGCCAAGCGCGTGCCTCATTTTCCCTCTTGTTAATTTTTTTTTATTTATTATTCGTACAACAACTATTGCCACTTCCTATATTCCTCCTAATTATTCGCATCTTTCCAGCTGATCCTACCTCTTAAATCAGTATTCTTGTCTCTCATTTTCATTGTATACATCTTAATTTATTTATTACCCTACCACCCACCTACTAATTGTTCTTGAACAAAATTCTCCTGACCTGCAGAATTCTTCAACCTTGTCATTGGAGAAAATTAAGGCGAGTTGCTAAAAAAAACCCATGTTCAATCTTGGGTATCTTTTGTTGTGGTGTTTTCAGCTTACCAACAACTTATAATGCAATAATATGATGTGGGTTGTGTCTGTTTTCTTATGTTCTATTCCCTGTCCCCTTCTTTCATATTGGTTCAATGGTTCAAGTTTATCTATATGTATATATTTGTGTATACATGTATGTTTTTTTGTGTATATATGTTTTTGGTTATCATTTTATCTATACATGTATAATTTTTTTATCCAAATCATCTTGCGTGCACCTCTAACTATTCCGCCTCGTACATGTTGACTCCCATCAACACATGTACCGGGTAATTCTGCCAGCCAAGACTTAGGCAGTTGAGACGAAATCACTCACCTAGTGTTTTTGACCTTCGATATTGGTTCAAGCTTATGTTTTGTCTTTGTTGAGAAAAGACAGAATTTCAGTTTCTGTATAGGGGTATTTTTTGTGTGTATATTGACTTTGTTTTAGGTATTATGACACTTTTCTGACTAAAGGTTTGAACTTTCATCAATTCTTTTATGGTATGAATTATTTTGCTTTTTTTCAATGTGTTCGAGCCGTGTAAGCAGCCACTAATGCTTTCATTAGGATTTGCTGTCTACATCACACCCCTTAGGGTGCGGCCCTTTCCCCGACCCTGCGTGAACATGGGATGCTTTGTGCACGGATTGCACTTATTTAGCAATGTATTTTGTCTTTGCAGAAAAGAGAGAATTTAGTTTCTTTATATGAGGTTCTTGAGTATATATTGACTTTGTTTTTGGTATTATGAAACATTTCTAACTGAAGGTTTGAGGTGAAGTTTCTTCAGTTCTTTTATTGTATGAATTATGTTGCTTATCTTCGATATGGCAAGTGCTAGCTCTGTTATTTGTCTTTGGAGCAAAGAGAGGATTTGGTTTCTTTAAATGGGTGTTAGTGTATTTATCTTGGGCATTATGACACATATCTATCTGAAGTTCTGGACTTTCTTTAGTTCTGTTAGCTGAAGTTCTGCACTTTCTTTAGTTCTGTTAAACAATGAATCTTATTATTATTTTTTTCCAATATGGCAAGTACAAACAAGTATTGTTAGGATTCAAGATATTTCTTGTTGAAGCCATGTCTTTGAGATTTCTGTGTATTAGAAAACGTTATACTTACTAGGAAGGTAAAAATGAAAGTATAGAGCTTTTAGTTTTGCTTACTTAGTCAGAGGGGATGGAGTGTTTGTGCAATGAGTTCAACTTAGCCATTATTTTCGACATGGAATATAGATATACATGTAAAAACTCACTAAATCTTCAACAAATATTAAATTCTGAATCCATAATTTCAAAAGTACAATAAGTTCAATGCTAAGAATTTAGAGGCTAAACTCATCAAATTTAAATTTTTGATCTGCCTCTGCTTGTAGTTCATTCACCTAAAATATGCAGTAGCTTGAATAACTAAGGTGAAACTAACTATTTTCTTAAAATTTGAGCAAAAGTCAGTGGTGATAGAACAACACTACTGCTTGGTACCAAGTATATATGACTTGAATCTCTTTTTTACCACGTTTCTTTTGCACCATCTTCTTTTTTATGCTTAAGAAATCATCATTCATAATGTTTTTAAGTCTTTTGCATTTGATATAGATCTTTTACAGCGTACTTCTTCTGTTCAATCAAACTTTTCTAAAACTTCTCTGTTTTTGTTCGATATCTTCCAATGGTCCTTCATTTAAAACATGTATGAGTCCTTATGTATTTGATAAAGTACTGATTAGTATCTTTAAATTCAGCTGTGCAGGTCAGTGTATGAAATTTCCCTTTCCTGACTCTAGGTGGCATGTGAAGAAGCCAGAAATAATCTGACTCTACCTCAATAAATGGATAAAAAACATCACATCGCCATATATACCACTGCAAGCATTCCTTGGCTAACTGGAACTTCCGTCAATCCTCTCTTTCGTGCTGCATATCTTGCGAAAGATGGTGCGCAAAAGGTTACCTTGGTGGTTCCTTGGCTGCCATTGAAAGATCAGGAACATGTGTTTCCGAACGGTATCAAATTTAGTTCACACTTGGAGCAGGAAAAGTGTGTCCGTCAGTGGTTGGAAGAGAGGACTGGTTTTGCATCAAATTTTAGCATACGTTTTTACCCTGGAAAGGTAAATGCAGAATTATTTCAACTTATCGAAAAAAAAACAATTAAAGTCATACCTCTCTATAACAACATCGTTATATAACAAGTAACAAACATTCATTATAAAAGCCAAGTTTTTATGGAACCCATTTTTATGCTATGTTATAATATATGTTCTCTATAACAACACTTCACTATAACAACCAAAACAATTTGGAACAAATGAGGCTGTTATAGAGAGGTTTAACTGTAGTTTCATTTATTTTCTAAAGTCTGAAATATGATTGAGTATGAATCTAGCTTATAATACCAAAAACACCGAGCTCTTAGAATATGTCGATTAATTGCCACACATACTTCAGCTTGTGACATATATAGGTATATATGTGTGTCTGTATCATACAATGTAGTACTGGGAATTACTGAATTTATTCAATGATAATTGCACTGATGTTTAATTTGGCATATTTGTAGAGGTAAATCAAATTATTTAACATGCCACTTTTTCTTTCTTCTGTTCTATCGTTTACTCTTTTTCTTCCCCTCATCCCTAGCAGATTTAGATTGGGAGTGAGGGAAGCTGCTTTAAAAGCGTTTAACATGTCATATTTTTCCTTCTAGAAATTTTAAGTTTCTCTCAGAATTACAATTTGCCACCAGTTAGTTCTTAGAAAACATCCTAGTGTTTACTTGCCTTTGAAAGTTGCACACAAACTCCAAGCTTCCGATCTTCAATTGTTTCTCTTTCGCATACTTAGGGGAATGGAGAAATTGAAGTTTTGTAACTTAATGAAGTCATTTGTTTCTTTTTAAAATTTGTTTTGTATTTTTTCCAGTTTTCTTTAAATTTTTGTAATTTAATGATGTCTATAGTATGAGAATAGTTGATTTAGACTGCTGCAAGAAAATTTGAGTTCCCTTTTGTGCATATTTCTGGAATCGGTAAAGAGGGGCTTTTTAGCTTTAAAATCATTTGGTTCTTGACAATATGCATCGTGATAATTTTGTTGTTATCTCAACTGACTGTCTGTTGCATTTGGTATTCACTTTGTATAGCAACAAATCATTATGTTATCTTCTTCCAACCTCCTGCTTTCATTTTCTTCTAAAATTAGTGCTATTTCATCAATAATAATGTTTTGATATGAAATCATGGAAGATCATTTCATATTGCAAATTATTCTATTCAATCTGTTTTCATTTATCTGTATTTGTAATTTTGCAATGATAATTTCTGGCAAACTTGTTGAGGAAAAACTGGGATTTCTGCATTGCAGTTTTCTCTGGAAAAAAGGAGCATTCTTGCTTTAGGGGACATCACAGTAATCATTCCAGATGATGAAGCAGATGTTGCAGTCCTTGAGGAGCCCGAGCATCTTACATGGTTTCATCACGGAAAGAGATGGAAAAAGAAATTTCGTTTGGTTGTAGGAATTGTTCACACCAATTACCTGGAATATGTAAGGAGAGAAAGGAATGCCGTGCAGGCATTTTTCTTAAAACAGATAAATAGCTGGGTTGTCGATATTTATTGTCACAAGGTATGAATCTAGTTCATTTTAGTTATCTCATTTGTTGGTTATGATGATCTAGATTTCGTGTGTGGAAGGGGGGAGGGCAGTAACTGGTATGAATTGTTTTCAGCTAATTTAGGTGAAATATAACTCTTTGAAATCACTGTAATGCAGTGTTGTGAAGAGCGTGAAGCGAGAAAAAGCGACAAACCCCATTTCGCTTAAAGCGAGAAGCGAGAAGCGAAGCGCTCGCTTTTTTGAAGTGAAGCGAAATTTTAAAAAAAAAGTAAAAAAATATTGCATAGACAACACATGTAATTGTAAGCAAATGTTCAATACTTCTCTTTTAATAACTGGAATTCTCTGTTAATAACTGGAAAAATTGGTCAGTAAAATTCTGAAAAAATTGGGCAGTAAAATTCTGAAAAAAATTCGCCAGCATTTCGCTGCTTTTTGGACGTTTAGAAAGAAAAAGAATAATAAGAAGAAGAAGAAGAAGAAGAATGGAAATCAGAAGTTCAGAACATACCTGTTGAAGTCTTGAACTTGAAGTAGAAGAAGAAGAAGAAGAAGAAGAAGAAGAACAACCCTAGTTGATGATTTGAGATTCTTTAAGAAATCAGAAGTAGATGAAGAAGAAGTCGCTGCTGTTGGAAGTTGAAGAATACTAGTCGCTGTTGTTGAAGATCAGTGTTTAATCCAAAAAACTTAGTTTTTAATAAAATAGGGTTGGGTATTTTAATACAGAGAAGCGGACGCTTCTTCTCTTCGCTTCGCTTTCCCCGCTTCTCGCTTTTTACAGAGAGGCGGTCGCTTTTACTGACCCGAGTCGCTTCAGCTTGCTGAAGCAGCGGCCTTTCACGCTTTGCCTCGCTTCTCGCTTAAAGCGATGAAGCGAGCGCTTTTTTAAACACTGCTGTAATGTGGGATTATTTATGTTCTTTCTTTTGGTTAACCACCTTAAGTTTCAGATACCACTGCGGAGTTCTGAGCAAACTTCCTTTATCTAGGAAAAGAGTTCTTAAGGTATAGAAAAAGAGTTCTTAAGCTAGAGATAGTTCAAAAAGTCCCTGCTTTAATTTGTCATTTGCACAGGGCAACATAATAATGCCTTGTTTTCGCTTGAAATATGATCTCATCCAGAAATAGGCCACTTGACTGCTAGAAATGCTGGTTAGGTTGAATGCCACCAAACAACTGTCATGCTCTTTAAAGTTCTTTAGGTCGGCCACTGGAACAAAGGAAAAGCAGCACATACATTGTTCTTAATATTAATACATAGAATTGGCTATTGTCATCCATCTGTCTGCATCTTAACATTTTGCTTTTTATGCAGCCTAGATGTAATGGAAGTGAGAAATTAATGCTCTTCCACCAGTATATGGTATAGGATGGTGGCAAACATATTGGTTTTATCTTGACAGACAAATTCAGACTGCTTTATAAATCTGAAATTACTTCATTAGACTTAATGGCCGTACTTATGGTTATAGCTGCGATCATGATTTTCTCATACTTGATGTGGAATGGCTTAAGTAGTTATAATTACTTGCTCTAAATGGCAGGTCATCAGGTTATCTGCTGCCACCCAGGATCTCCCAAGATCTCTGGTCTGTAATGTGCATGGAGTCAATCCAAAATTCCTTCAAATTGGGATGAAAACAAGAGAGAAACAGCAACATGATAACCAAGCTTTCAGCAAAGGTGTCTACTACATTGGTAAGATGTTGTGGAGTAAAGGTTACAAGGAGCTACTTAGACTCTTACGTGATCATCAAAAGGAACTTGCTGGACTGGAAATCGATTTACACGGTAGTGGTGAGGATTCTGCTCAAATTGAGGCAGCTTTTAAGAAGTTGGAATTGGCAGTTAAGGTACATCCAGCATGTGATCATGCAGATCCCTTATTTCACGAGTAAGTGCCTCCAAAAGATAACAACTACTATCAAACTTTTTCCTCACCCTTGTTATTTATCTGGAGGGGTTCCGTGGGGGTAATTCCTCCAATTGTGGGTGTGCATCTACTGTATCTATTTAGACGTCTTTTCTTTTTCTCTTGTCCTTTTGGTGCAAAGGGAGGAACCATTATGACCGAGACGACTTGATTAATTGATGTTTTTGAGCCTCTCATTCACTTTGTAAATACTTTTGATACCATTTGGTGTGTTAGTAATGAAATAAACTTGATTTAAATAAAAATATTCAATAACCAAGGGAGGTAGAGATAATGCCATTGGTATTTTTTTATGTGGACCTACGCATACAATTTAGAAGCTTTAGGCTTGGTTGTGGTTCTGCATTCCCATCCTATGATCCCTAATTGCCTCTGCTTTATTTTTTCGATACTCAACAAAATAACAAAACTTATCTATAGATGATGTTTAAGATATATGTTAGATGTATATATAGTTAGTACTTTTGATGCTTGGTGACGTTTTCACTATAGCAATCGTATAAGTGGCAGTTACCATGATCCACTGTTGCCCTATCCTATCCAACTCTCAGTTGTGTTATTAGACATTGTTAACTCTGGAAAAGGTAAAAATAACTCAACTTCAGAATGCAAGTGAACTAGAACAAGTTTCAAAAACTCGAGCTTCTTTTAAAGCCGATTTCCTTTAGTTCTATAAGACACTTCCATTGTTGCACATTTGTACATCTTGGTTTGATTTTATTCTTAGATATTTCACGAAAAGTAAGGTTATTCCACATAATAGAAAACAAAAGAGTTGCATGCTTCCAATTTTACTTTTTATTACAACAATTTCAATTTTCAGTTTTCAAAAACTCTTGTCTGCCTCCGTGTTCCATCAGTTAAGTGTGAGGAACACATTTGGGATTCTCATCTTAATAATGGTGTCAACTCAGCACTGAAAGATGGACATCCAAATATGGGATGAAAGGGAGTATATGATTCGGAAATTGCAGCAGCTGGTTGTACATTTTGCTAGAAACACGGTTGAGTGATTTGATAGTTTCAGGTGTCTGAATTGTCTTTTTAAGGTAGCGTATTAGTGTAGGATCTGGGTGGGTAGAATCAAGAGCTGTCAAAACGGGTCAGCCCAGCCAAGCCCAGCCCAAGCCTCATGGGCTTTTAAATTTGGTGGGCTAGGGCGGGCTGCCACATGAATGGGCCTTAAAATGGTTAGCCCAACCCAGCCCAAGAGAGCCGCGGGCTAGCACGGGCCGGCCCTTCAATTTTTTTTTAGAAAAAAGAATTTCTTTAAATCCTTAAATAGTTTTTCGTGACATAGTCGATTAATCATGTAAACAACTTCTGTTTGCTTAGAGCGTACAAAAACTTGATATTTGACGAGGAATCTCGTAATTGAAATGCAAATTTTCTATATCTTTAGCTCTTCTTTTTTAAAGTTACATAAATATTTTCTTGATGCTTTTCTTTCATTTTCCTCAGATTCAGGGATTGTTTCAATAAGTTTATATGTTGAGGTTTTTTAACTTAGGATTAACATCATTTATTGATTTCATCATTATAGTCCATAAATTTTTTAAAAGTCCTGAAATTTGCTAGTGGTCAATTTTATTTTTGTGTATTTAAAATTATTTTTTTCTATACTAAAGAGCAGTTTAAATATTAATAATATATTAAAGTAATCCAAACTGATCATTGGCCACTTAAAGTAGTATTTTCTTTTGAAAAACGATTATTATTGGCCACCTAAAACTTTTCGAGTTCGTTATTAATTAAGCAAAAGAAACACTAATTTTGTCATATTACATGCATGCCAAAAATCTAAATTCTAGTTGATATGGAAGGTAAAATGAGCAATCTAGGGTTGGGGAATGGGGATTACAGTTAATAGTTTTTTTAGTTTTTACTCTTTTTAAATATTAAATATTTAATAGTAAATTAATTTTTGGCTCACGGGCCGGCCCAGGCCCAGCCTCGGTCAAGCCTCAAGGGCCAACGGGCTGACTTGGGCCGGGCTTATAAGCCTTAGTTTTAAATGGGCTAAAAAAATCCTAGCCCAACCCTACCCAAGTAGCGGGTTGGGTTGGGCTGGCCTCACGGGCCAAACCCATTTTGACGGCTCTAGTAGAATCTTTTACTTCTCTTACTGAATAAATGTGAAGGATACTTATATTGAATTTGGAAATACTTTGAGTTGGTTTGAAGAGTTTAAAAAGAAGTAAAAATGTTCTCAGCTCAATGCCAGTTAAGTAATTAGAGACTCGCATTGCTAGAAAGAAAAATATACTTTCCTGGAGTCTGTGTAATCTGCATTCCAAGTGCGACGTTCCTAAGTACCTAGCTCTGCCATTACCCCCCACCCTGGACACCCGAAAAGGAAAAGAAAAATAAAGAAAGGAAAAGAGTAGAGAATTGATGAAGGAAGCTCAAAGGGGAGGATGCAGAAATCCAATTGTATCCAAGCTCCAAGGCTCGTTCCGCTCCTTGGGTTGTTCAAACTTACCAAACTGAAACATTTTAGTAACCAAAGGAAGGGAACACAATCGAGACACCAATACTAGTGGCGAGTGAGACTAAATTTGGGATTCAAGAAAAAGTCAAGGTCATTTAGGACAGATGGAAACATGTTATGGATCTATTCTAGTTAATCAATCAATCCCTCATTCTTCCCTTGCTTCTGGACACTTTAGATAGATTTTAATTGGAAAGAGAGTGAGGAATTACCTCTGTGGTTTGACTGCAGGGATTCCAGTTGTCTTGTATAAGAGGACAACAAAACTATTGAATCACAGGTGACTCACAACAGAACTATTGATGTCTAAAGGCATTCATAAATGACTTCTTCCTCCTTCTTAATACTCTCTGATATGGATCGTGACCTCACAACTGGGAAGGAGTTGGCTTAAAATCTCAGGTATTGGCAGAATTTCACTCACATAGATGCTTGTTCGCTGCAGATAATTGTGTTGGATGAACAATGACCTCGTGACGATCTTGTCGTATGATGCAACAGCTGCTTCATCACATTTCTTGCTTAGGAGCTAACAGGTTGTTACCCAGGAAATTATAAAGGACGAAGGTCCGGGACTGGTCTGAGGGTTGATATGAAAGTATTGGACAATGAATTTATCCCTGCTTTTAGGATTCTTTGGTATCATAGGGTTGACGGAACAACACCACTGCATTCTTAAATTGGCAAAAGCATAACAGAAGGTGCAACGTTCATCGACTTGAAAACATTGCAATTTAACCACGGAGTATAACTTGTGGGAAACTAGAAATCATTCTAGAACGCAGTACATCTTAAGCTACACAAATATATAAATGGTGGAAGCTGCAGAATATCTAACACCATAAGTGGACTCATGAAACTTCCCAATTTAAATCATTTCCACTTTTAGGAATTCATAAGATTACCAAAGTGCTTCCTACTATCCTCAGTGCGCATAAAGTAGCATAGTAGCAAGTAGTTTCCTACTGCATCAATTCTTGTTCTTTCTTTACATGTGCTATGTACCTTGAGAATTTGAGTTCCCTTACTTTTAACACATAATGAAAGTTTGCTGAATGAAGCGTTAGAGACACTGAATTTATGTACTTTGACTGTAGGTGTTGTTTTTCATTCTCATATCATCAACAAATGACAATTCATTTTTTTTTATTTGTCTTTTGTTTTGACTTCAGCTATAAAGTGCTTCTTAATCCAAGCACCACGGATGTAGTTTGTACAACCACAGCTGAAGCACTAGCAATGGGCAAAATAGTTGTATGCGCCAACCATCCATCAAATGAATTCTTTATGCAGTTCCCGAATTGCAGAACATATGATGACGGTGAAGGGTTTGTTAAAGCTACACTCAAGGCATTATCCGACGAGCCTGCTCCACTGGCTGATAAACAAAGGCATGAACTTTCTTGGGAAGCAGCAACCGAGCGATTTCTGGAAGTAGCACAGCTGGACATCACGCCGATGAGGAAATCATCAAAGACTACTTCAAAGTCTTTTCTCTCGACATCCTTAAGTTTAAAGAAAAAATTTGAGGATGCATCAGCGGGGGTACATTTCGTGGGGACGGGATTTCTGAGTTCACAACCGAATGAAGAGCAATGTAAAGAGCTGGGATTGGCTATTCCTTCAAAGAAAAAGGGATTTTCTTCTGGAAGGTGGATCTGAGGCGCATCCTCTGCAGGCTGGTTTCTCTATTAATACTGTTAACATCTCTACTTTTTGACAGCAACAATATTTGAGTTTCTTTCTATTGATAATCATGGGATTTTGCTGTTCCATTGCAAGGATTAGTTTTTATTTTTCTGGTTGTTGTTGTACAGACTCTTTTGGCTCCCAAATGAGCTTTGTTTTTTTAGAGAGGACAAATCAACTCCTTGTATATACTATATAGGATGTAACTTATATCCACTGACAGTGTAATGAAAACTTTACATTAATCAGTGCAATTTATTGGTCCAATCACGCATAGTTTTCTTGTCTTCAGCCCAGTGCACTAAGCTCCCGCTATGCGCGCGGTTCAGGGAAAGGTTAGATCACAAGAGCATATTGTATGCAATCTTATCCTGCATTTCTGCAATCATGCATAGTCAATGGCGGATCCACGTACATGATTGTGGGTGCTGAAGCACCCATTGCTCGTCACACGTAACTTGCATTTTGTACAGATAATGGTTAATAATAGCGAAATACCTATAATTAGCACCCATTAAGAATGAACGCTGATGGTGCTCCGATCTTTGTGACGGAAATGGAGTAAAAGACGCAGGATCCTTTTACTTTCTTTCCTTTTTTACTTTTTTTTTGCTGCTTTCCTTTTTTACTTTCTTAGTTTCTTTTACTGTGAATTGCTTCCATTTCATTCTTTACCAATTTTAATAATATTTCCTAGACCTGTTATCGCTTATCTTTCAACAGAGTGTCCTTTTTTTTTTTTAGCAACAGAATGTACTTTTTCTTTCTCATTGCGTTGTGGTGATCACCCTTCACTTCCAACCAAGAAGTTGTGAGTTCGAGTCACCCCAGGAGCAAGGTGAGGAGTTCTTGGAGGGAGGGAGCCGAGAGTCTATCGGAAACAGTCTGAGGTAGAGGTAAGGTCTGCGTACACACTACCCTCCCCAGACCCCACTAGTGAGATTATATTGGGTTGTTGTTGTTGTATTTGCTTCTCCTTTTTAGTTTCTTTTATTCCCTTGTTACTTTCTTTCCCACCAAACCCCATCTTCTAAAATAATCAAAAGCTCCTCTCTTCTCCCACAAAAAATAAACAAATAAACTTGAATCTAAAGCTTTTATTGGCGAAACTTAAGTTATCTTTTTTTTTTTTTAATTCTTATTGATTTGAGCAGTTTTAATTTCACCTCTCGTTTTTTTCATTTGACTTTTGAGACTGAAAGTACTCAATTTTATATTTATTTTTGTTGATTTTTTTTCTTCTTTTTGATAAGTTTATTTTTATTCATTTGTGTAATAAAATCAATATTTCCAATTTATGTCAATCTAGACTTGTCAATAAATATTGTGTAAATAATAATGCTTTTATTAATCATTTTTAAAGTATGAAAAGTTCGAAGATAAATGTAAATATATTGATACTTTAATAATCATATTTAATGTAATTTAAGTGTAAATATTTTTATCATATGTGATTTAAATAGTTAGGCACTTATGCATTATAGTTGCAGCCAGTGGTTGAACTAGAATTTCTATTAATAGGAGTAAAAATATAAAGAAGTAAATATACAATTTTTTATGAATATGAGTAAAAATATAAAAAGATAAATATACGAAAAAATTAAGGGAATTCAACATATATATATATATATATATATATATATATATATATATAGCAACTCTATACTAAAAATAATGGAATATCCATTATATTAAAACTCTAGCTTTATATTGTTCCACCGGTGTGACAATGTATTTGAACGTTATTTTGTCCTATAATTGCAAATTCACGAGAGCCTGTCAGCACTGATTCTTTCTCTTTTTTCTTTTGTTTTTTTTTTATATTTGAATTTTGTAGTATAATTTATGAATTAAACATGCCAACAAGCCTTAAATTATAACGTTTTGGAGTTTGTCGTTAGCGGTGACTGAATATTGTTGGAGCAATATTTTCATTTAATTCTGATGAGTTAAAAACCAGAAACATTATTATGTTTAGGAGCTCTGGTCTGCGAAATCTATAACCTGAGCACGGAAATTAAAGGAAAGAAATCAAAATAGAAACTAACTTCATTAGAATTTTGATGGACTAGTGCATTTTCATACAAGCATTTATATTATTTTGCTTTAATATAATTACATTCTAATTTTTGATATATTTTATTCTGTGAACTTACAATTTGTTTAGTTTAAATTGTTGAAAATAATTTTAATTTGTGAAAAAGATGCCCTATAACTGAAGAGAACAGTTCTTGGACCACGAATCCAGAACGCAAAGTGACAGTATTATGAGTTCGAATTGTAGTATCCGGAACTGCCAACTTAGACAATCAATATGAAACTTAAGTTATATACACAATCATTAAATTTTAACATGTGATAATATATTTTTATTTTTACTAAATTACCAATTAATGATTGGTTATCAAGAAATTTACTTGTAATTACCTAATAAGTGACCTGATTATAAATATTTTTTATACTATGAGCTTAAACTCAAAATATACTTTAAGCATCCTTTCCAAAGTGTATCAACCTCAAAAAATTGTTCCCGTTTATAATCCAATCTCTCAAATTTTCCCACTAATACTATATATGGGAAATTCAAACATTACAGTGATTATTATAGTGATCAAATGGAACTCATAAGGAATTGAAAGAGAATAGAGAGAGCAAATGATAGACGAGGAAGAGAAATGTCTCATGGATCACTAACTTGCGTAACAAACTTTTTAAAACTAAGGACCCCACACGAACTGACATTTTTGTCCCTGACTAACTAACTCTATTAACCACCTTTCAAATTTTTGGCTCGTGGATTCCTTTGTCAATTTCAGCTCCATCGAACGAAAAAGAAAATAGAAAATCGAATATTTCGTTCTTCTCTTTTAGTTTTCCACGCGTCAATTTTGATTTCTGAATTTCACCGTAGGTCTTCATCCTCTCTCTCTCTCTCTCTCTCTCTCTCTCTCTCTCTCTGAGATTTCTTCATTTTCTGATCTTTTTGGCTCTACAGCAAATTTGTCCTTTTATTAGGAAAATTGGCTCGAAGCAGTCAACTATAAGAAAACAAAAAATAAAATAAAAATGGGATTAATTTCGGGGATTATGATGGGGATGATCTTCGGGATCGGTTTAATGGCGGGTTGGCAATATATGATGAGCTATAGAAGCACTAAGCGAATCGCCAAGGTATATATATAATTGCACATTCTCTTTCGCAATTCACATACTATATGCTGAAAATTTCTGTTGTAATTTCTCATGTGACCTAATTACGAGAGGACTGTTATGTTACCACACGTATTTTCTATATGAGGAATCTGTCTAATGACTGTATAATTTGCAAAGGCTTAAATTTGCTATTCTGAGTAAAATAGGGAATGATTTTGGGAATTAAGTTCAACTGCGTTATTGCTTGACGAAAATATAGCTACAATATGCTGGCATTAGACTGCAGGGGCGGATGTAGAGTTCAACTTATGGGTTCATGTGAACCCAATAGTTTTGGTTTAATTCAAACACTGTATATGTGTTAAATAACTTCACTAAACAAGTAAAAATAATTGATTTCGAACCTAGTTTTGCTGCTTGATACTCTATACTTTTGGTCCATATGTATTGATACTTCAGTTTCTCCTCAAGGTACTTTGCTATAAGAGTAAGAACTAGCTATTGTGGTTGCTTTGAAACGTAGATGTGAAAATTTAGATAGTACTACTCATTATGCTAGTTGATAAGAGAATTTGAATTGTGGATGTGCATGTCGGTTTTCTTTCTGAAAGACTGGTATTCATTGCTTTTCTGTATTTTATTTCTTTAACACAGGCCGTAGATGTAAAACTAATGGGCTCCCTCAACAGGGATGATCTAAAGAAAATCTGTGGAGATAAGTTTCCTGAATGGATATCATTCCCAGTTTTTGAACAGGTTGGATGTTGGCCTTACTTGTTTACACTCATCGCTCTATAATAATCCTATTTTCAGCTGAACACAAAGTTTCTTCTCTGTCCTATAATAATGTTTTATAGCTTAAGAAATATAGTCAATGAAGGTAGGTTCTACTTTTGGAATCTGTTGATCAGAACTGTAGTACACTTTGGAGCTTTATAGGTTGGAGGGTGGGAACGTGGTGACGATTGGTTATATATTATATTTTAAAGGGCAGTAGATGGCTTAGTTCATGAACATAATGATAGGACTGAGGTAGACATTATAAAGGTTGTTTCCTGATCTTATCAATGTCAGATGTGAATCTTAGAGGTTGTTTAACATCTGTAGTTTTCACATGCTTTCTTTCTGCAATTTTAAGAGATAAACTGTATTATATCTGGCATTAGTAATGTTACATTTTCTCATATTGTCTCATGCTGGCAGGTCAAATGGTTGAACAAACAATTGAGCAAACTGTGGCCATTTGTTGCTGATGTAAGCTTTTACACCTATCTTTGGTATCCTGTGCAATTTTTGCTTTTTAAGTCGGGTTTTGTAACTTCAATAATAATATAAATTGTGCTTGCTTTGTGGGTATGACGTGTCTAATCGTGTTTTAGGTTCTCTTTGATCATCAGCATATTGATAAAAAATGTCTCTTGTAATGATACCCAAATCTTTTCTCCTCTTTAGAGAATGTATCTTTCAATAATGTCTCCATGTCTTAATATTCTACTGGTTCATTGTGTATCAGAGAACTTGTTCCTTTAAGAACTGATAGCGTGCACAAGACATTTATTATGCTGATCCATAACCTAATCTATAAGAATCTCAGTTTTCATGTATTTTATAGTATGCTTCTAGTATGCCATATCAAAGTTGTCTAAGGACTTGGCCATGCCCTATTAATATTGTGTGTGAAAGACATGGTATTGAAGTTGAAATAAGGTGTGGGAAATAGGTTGAGAGTGCAGTAGGCATATATGTGTTTTTTCATAAATTTGAGCAGATGAAACATTGGTTTTGTATACAGTTTTTCAGTCGATTCCTCTGTGCAATGAGACTAGATATTTTCTTTTATATACCTTATTTGCTGTGATGTTAACACTGCCTCTGGATAGATAATTTGAAAGTTGAACCTTTTCTGGAAATACTTGTTATGTCGAGGTGAAATGTTCAGTTAGATCAGCAACATCTGTCGGCTCATTGTTGTGGTGAAATGTTTAACCTCCATGTTGTGACACCATAAATCTAATCTCTGGAATATGCCACTGTGCAGGCAGGAGAAGCTATTATAAAAGACTCTGTTGAACCTATTTTAGAAGATTACCGACCTCCTGGA